TAAGGAAAAAACTATTTTTATACCCCAGGTAACCACAATTACTCACTTAAAACACCTGTTGGGCACGGTACTACTTGGCAAATCTTGGGACCAGACCGGACAGCACCACTCTTATTTCTTGCTCTAGCCTGATTTTTTTACCCTGTATTTACTAGCAACTGCTAAAAACCCAGCTTCCCAAAGATATGACGTCACTTGGAAGGGATCTGGCGCCATCTAACGCCAGAACACAGCTACCAGGAGCTGCGAATTCCCAGGGCGTCAGACACTTGGAGCTGAGCCCCGGGGGCTTATTCTGAAAATTTACAATCCCTCACTGGGCCCCTGAGAGTTCGCTGAAGTGGCTCAGCAAAGTTTGGGGACAGGCGACTTAGCCTAGCGGGAAGATCTCATTCTCTTCCAAGAACACAGCCCCCGAGCCACGCCACAGGAGTCCTATCAGTAAATATTTAGGCAACTTACAATCTCAAACAATATCCTTGTCAAACAACGTTGTGATAAAAAGCCTTCCACACGTATCTCTGTGTACTTGGCCAATTATTTCATTCTCTCATTTATTTAACGGGCTCTAATTACACACCACGAGGATGTGCCAGGCACAATTTGAGAGGCTGACGTTACAGAGGTGAGTACAGGATCTCTCACAAAATGTGCATCCTCCTGACGGAGCAAGGAACAGAAAAACAAACCCTTTCAGGTTGTGACAGGCTATGAAGGAAAATAAGGTCAAGACCAAGGGTTAGAGGAGCGCCCGTCTGACTCAGTCGATGGAGCATGTAACTCTTGATCTCGGGGCTGTAAATTCGAGCCCCACGTTGGGTGCAGAGATTACTTAAAAAGAAAAAAATAAGAAAGCAAAGAGCCAGGGGTTAGAGGATGCACGGGTCAGGAAAGTACCCCATAACAATGCGCTCTCTGAGCAGGGAATACACGGACATCTCCCATAGCAACAAAATACCTAAGCAGAGAATACACGGACGGAAAGGCAGAACCAGGCTGTGGTTAAATAAGAGCGAAAGCGGAGTTAGGGGACGAGCTGGCGAGGCAGGCAGGGGCCACACAACGCAGGATCTCGCAGGTCCGAGTCAGCAGCTGGGACCCCTTGGAGAGGACCCGGCTCAGGCAAGAGAGGGGATAAAGAGAGCTCTCTAGCTGCTCTGCGAACTGCAGAAGGAACGGCCAGGGGCCAGGGCCGCTGCCCAGGAAAGGCGAGGGTGGTGCGGAACCTGCCAGTCCAGATGGAGATGGTCACAAATGGCTGGATTCCAGGCATATTTTGAAAGGCAGAGCTGACAGACTGGCAGATGGACCAAGTGGAAGTTGTGAGAAGGCGAGGAATCAGAGACGGCTTTTAGGTGTCTGGCCCCAGCAAGTGGGTGAATGGTAGAGCCACCGAAAACCCGGCAAGGGCCGGGGAGGGGTGTGCTCAGGAGAGGCAGCCAGAGAGGTTTGATTTCACGGTACACTTTTACAGGCGGTGCTGCTGGAGTAAGGTACGCGCCTATTGAACGACATAAAAGTGTCAGCCCAACCTCCGAAAAGGTGACACCGGTGTATCCTCTTACCAACGATGGCTAAGCGTGCTTATTTCCCGGTATTTTTGCCAGCAGAAAATCATTGGATAAAGAAAAAAAAAAGCTTTCTTTAAATTTGCATGTTTTTATTAGCAAGCGGATCCTTTTTATTGGCCATTTGCACTACTTTCGTGAACTGTTTGTATCCTTTCTGTCTGCCTAACAGGTATGCGCCTTCCTTACTGATTCATAAATGTGCCTTGTGTATTAAGAAATCTGCCCTTGTTTATCACAGTGCAAATATTGTTTCCCGATCGGTTTTTTTTTTAGCTGTTCCTGGTGCCTCCGAGAAAGAGAAGCGCCTCTTATTTTTAGCTAATGAAACGTGCCCAGCTCTTCCCTGCATATAAAATGCCTACCTCAGTGCCCATCATACGATTCACCTATAACTCATTCATTACTATTAAGGGGGGTTCTGTCCCTGGAATCGGCCCCCACAAGCCTTCGGTATGTTTCTAGGGCTTTCTGGCTTATCTTGTTAGATTTAAAACCTTAACTCCATCTGGATTTTCTTTGGTATGGTGTAAAGGTCCTGACACAACTTTCACGTGGCTGAGCCCTGTCCTCGAGCAAAGCGGTCTCCATCCGCCAACACAGCCATTCAAGTCCACCCTCTCCAGCCCGCGGGCTCCCTCCAGTTTGCTCCACAAAGGAGTCCAAGCCACCACCAGTTCTCCCCCAGAGCTCCCCTCCTCCCTGATCTCTCCTGCTTCCCTTCTTAGCCCTCCTGCTCCTCGGCAATGGGTTCTTCACATGGCAACCCAAGCAGTAGCAGTCTGTTGTTTTTTAACGTAAACTTGATGTCACTCTCCTGCTTCTAATTCTCCAAGGGCTTCCTATTAAGCATAGAACTAAACCCCGGATTCCTTACTATGCTTTCCAGCATCTCCCCTGGCCTGCCCAGTCTCCTGCTTCTCCAGCCCCATTTCCAGAACTGTGGTCACTCAGCTGAACCCCAGCCTCTCACACACGCGTCTCTTAAGCTCCTGGGACCACAACGATTCATGCCTCCCTCCGGCCCTTTGCTGTTTCCTGTCTGAAAACCTCTTGTCCCCGAACCTGTGGCCCAGACGACCGGCTGCTTCTCCTCCTCCAGGTAACGTCACCTCCCCAGACAGAGGGGACCCTGACGGCCACCCCATCTACAGGAACTTCACACCTCGTGGCGGCGCGCACCGCTTCGCTCCATTCGAAGTACTCGCCGCTAACCGAATCCCCTCGTTCATTCATTTATATGCCTGCTTACTGTCTGCTGCGTGTCTATCACACAACAGGCGTCCAGTGAATACTTGCGGAAGCGGGAGAGGAGAAAAAGATCGGGGGTCGGGCTTCGCATCTAAACCTGAAAAGACCCTGGCCCCCAGGAGTCATCCGCACCCACTCCCTCCCCGCTGGGACCAGGCCTCCCGGGCGGCCGCCGGCCCGCGCTCGAGGCCCGTCCCCGAGGCCACCGTGGAGCCCCGCCCGCCGCGCGGCTCGGCGCAGACGGAGGGCAGGGCCTCTTACCAGTTCATCCGGACTGAGGACTCCGAACTGCACTCGCTTGATGGTGCGCAGCGGGCATGCGCTGTCCCCGGAGGGGGGGCCACCCCCGTGCATCGCGGAGGCGGGCGCGCTGCGCAGGCGCAAACCTCTCTACAAAAACCCTGCGCCGCCTCCGCCTAGGTGCTCAGACCCCGTCGGGGCGGCCACCGGGAAGGACCTCCCCGAGTTGGGAGGAAAAAGACGGAGGAGGGAAAGGTGGGGGAGGGAAGAAGGCAGGGAAGTGAAAAGGAGCGAAAGGAGCTCTCCTCCCCCTTTCCGGAGATTTTTCGTCTCCCAAAAAGAAAAAAAAAAGAGGGAGGGGGGGGAAGGAAAAGGTTTCGGGGGGAGGAAGAAGAAAAAGGGTAACGAATAAATAAGTAACCAGGCTCCTGAACGGCAGAGGGTACGGCAGTTTGTCTCTCCCCCTTCCGGGAGCCGCCTTCTTCTCCAACCGTCCCGGCCGCGCTCTCGGCGCTTCTGAGGAGCGAACTGGCCGAATGACGCCCTTTATAGATTCGCCCCTTCATCCCCGCCCCTTCCTTTCCCGCCCTCCCTTGCGCTACGGGGTCGCCTGCGCCGGCCTGCACGGAGCGCGCGCTCGAGTCGTTGGTCGTCCCTCCCCGGCTCCCGGGTTGGGCGACCTTTTAAAGCGCCGCGGGGGAGGGGGACTTTTTATTTTTACCCCGCCGCCCCCCCTTCCTGCTCCCCTCCCGCCCCGAGATTTAAGCTGTGAAGGATCGAAGGGAAATATAGGCCACTTTTATTCTAGTTTGGACTGTGCTTTCGTCTTCAGCAGAAGTCTTCCCCCCCCCCGCCTTCTGGAAAATGGTCTGTTCGGCGAATAGGTAATGAAGGAGGCGAGGCCGGCCGGGTCCTCCCAAGCGGGTTCCTGGAGTGGGGGGAGGGGAAAGCGCTGGGGCCGTCCTTGGTCATGAATATGCAGTAACCACGCTGAATATGCATGAACCGCTCAAGATGGCGAGGCCAATCGCCTGTCCGGAAGTAGCTGATGTTTGTCGAGCGGCCTCCAGGGACGGGTGGGTGCCTCCCGGCCTCGAATGGAGCGCCGTCCGGTGTTCAGGTCCTGGATTCCCCCCCACCCCTCAACCCCCGGGCTCCGAGCCGCTCGAGGAGAAGGCCTGGGCTCGGGGAGCCTTCTCCGGAAGGAGGCTGGCCGCTGTCCGGGAGAGATCACGGGACCGCCACCATCCAGGAAAAGCAGATTAGCCACGGGGCGGGACACAGAAGTCCTGAGGGATTCGGGGTCAAGGCATCTGAACGTTAGGACGTCCTCCCCCTTCCAGAATATTTCAGAAATAAGATCGGCGGGGGAAGGGGGGGAGGGGGGCAAGGATCCCGAGGGATTCTCCAATGAGAGCAGAGTAGGGCTTTCGCTCTCCTTCCAAAGCAGAGATGCCACCAACTGCACAGCCACATTCAGAGTGATCCTTGTTTGATGTCAGTGTCACGTCACCACCCCGGGGGTGGGGGGAGCATAACCAGGAGGAAAGGAAACTGTCTCTCAGGGAGAAAGGCACACTCCCTCACCCCGGCCCCTGGCTCTGTCCGCTTGCCTGAAAGCCCCAAACAGTCCAACCCCAACGCTCTTCTCCGCTGCCTTGGGGGAAAATCCGCCCTGAGGTTCAAGGCCGACCTGCCTCAGCCCCTCTGATGTGCTCCTCGGACCTTACTTCCCCTGCAGTCACGGCCTCATCCCCAAGGCCCAGCCTGGACTCCACATCTCTTGATCCCCACGCTCGTTCCAGGTCTTCCAGACAGTCCCTTCTGCACCGAGTCCCCAGGTCACCCTTGACTCCCAAGGGGTGCCCCTCTCCCATATCCAGTTCTCTCCCAGTCACGTGCTCTCCCCCTGCTTGCCTGCCGGTCTCTCCCCTTCTCCTTCCCCCTGACCCCCCAACCCCCGGGCTCTCGAGTTTGATGTCACTCCTCCACCTGCCCTTCCCTCTCACAGCTGAGGTTCTGGGCGGTGATGATGGCGATGCTCCCCAACACCACCCCTGCGCCCATGATGTCAGAAGGTGCCACGGTCTCATAGAGCACGTAGTACTGCAGCATCAGGGCCACCACCACCTCGGAGTGCAGCACGGCGCACACCAGGGCGGGGTGGACCTTGGTGACTGCGTAGCTCACGCACACGAAGGAGACGAGGGCCAGGATCCCCACCGCCCCCACGCAGCTCCAGCTCAGAGGATCATCGGGCAGCACGGGGGTCTGCAGTACAAAGAGGCCTGGCACAGAGCCCACCAGCCCCACCAAGCCAAACAGGAAGGCCACCGTCAGTAGGCAAGAGGAGAAGTCCAGGGAGCGGTACACCAGCAGCCCCAGCGACAAGGCCAGGCCGCCCAGGAAGGCGAGCACGTAGCCCAGGGCGGTGTAGAGGCCCGTGGTCCCCTCCTGCAGTGTCCCGAGTCCGGGTCCCACAATGATGATGAGTCCCAGGGTGCTGCCCAGCAGGCCACACCAGTCGTAACCGCTGAGACCCTGGCTCTCGAGGCAGAGGGCGAGGAGGGCCGAGCAGACGGTGGAGGAGCCCTTGCGGACGGTGGCAGCGTTGCCGGCCGGCACGACCTGCACGGCGCTGTAGGCGCAGCCGATGCTGAGGACGTTGAGCAGCGCGTGCAGGCAGGCCCGGGCCCGGACATCGGGAGGTCCCAGCAGTGGGTCGCCGCGCAGTTTAAGCAGTAGACCGATGGGCAGGTGGAAGAGACATCGACAGATGAGCAGCTCCAGCGAGGGAAAGCGGGAAGCCTGGTAAGCCATACGGGAGAAGGGGCCCACGAAGCCAGCAGGCAGGCCCCCACCCAGCAGGGCCACAAGCAGGCCCTTGGTGGCATCGGAGGGCCGGCAGCGCTGGTGCGAGGGGAGGCTGGGCGGAGTGGAGGGCGGCGATGGCTGGGTGAAGTCGGGCAGGTTGAAGTAGGGGTGACTGCCGGCCTGTTCGGGAGAAAGGAGCTCGGGCATCACGGCAGCCATAGCCCGGGGGGGGGGCCCTGGGGCATGACGAACCCCAGGCTGGGCTGGGGGACCTCTCAGGGCAGTAGAGGGGCGGGCTGTCTCGCTGAGGAGCTAGAAAGGGCCAGAGAGGGGGTGAGGTGGTACAGTGGGGGCCTTGAGCCTCTCTCTAAAGCAGGAAGCAGGGGCGAGCAGTCCGGGAGGAGCATCTCTGGGCAAGCTGTTCCTGGGAGAAGAGAGAGAGGACCCGGGGGTGGGGTGGGGGGGGCTGTTGGTTTGGGGAAGGGGAGGCAGCCTCTGATGCTGTGCTTCTGCGTGACGTCACGGGTTGAAACATGGTGAGTTTCATTTGTGGGTGTCTCCAGGGCAGCTGGGAAGTCTGGGGGGAAAGAGACCCAAGGGAGCAGCCAGGAGCTACAGGGAAGGGGGGGCTCTGCCTCCCTGAGCCCCACACTCACCATCTTTCCTTGGACCCTCTCTCGCCTGGCTCAGGGGGCCTTGGCCCTTCGGAGCTCCAGCCCTTGTGACCTGGATGGAGTGGGAGCGGGGTTCTTCTCTGGAACCTTCCTGAGGTGGGGGCGGGGGGGGGAGGTTCTCCCCTGGAACCTTGCTGAGGCTGCGGTGGGGGTGGGGGTGGGCCTAGTTTCTCGGGGTTTCCAGCCCTGCTGGCTTTGTGCGTGACTCTATGCCTCCCAAGTTTGTCTCCTTCTTTTTTTCTCTGGAGGAGTAGCTCTGCGATGAGACTCGCTTGGGCTTAAACGAGCTCGTTTCTGTCTCCCCCTGTTTCCCAGGAAAGGTTTTGCGGGAAGCAGCTGAGGGCCTGCTCCTCCGACTCCCGGAGTTGTGGATTTTTGAACACCAGGGAGGAGTCCCTGGGACTGTCCCTCTGGAGTTTCAGGAATGTATTTTTTCTGTGTGCTCCCACCTGGTGTTTGGTCGGTGCCGTCCCCGGAGGCGCACCCAGGGCCTCTGCGTTTACCCAGTATACAGAGGTGGGGATTTCGGCCGGTGGGGACAGAATACCACGCCGCGTGGGGGGCATCTGCAACCGGTAGTCATTTACGTGTGTCTGCTCCCAGGGCTGGGGCCTGCCCGGCCCGCAGCCTGGTGGGGGTCCCTGCGCGTCTCTGGGGAGGGTGGGTGGGCACGTGCGTGGCTGCGGGGCTGCCCCCCGTGCGTGTGCCGAGCCTGGGTCAGAGGGACCCACGGGGCCGGATCGCGAGCCTGCCATGTTGTGTGTCCGCGGAGAGGGTGTGCGTGCTCTGGGCGCCGTGCCCCGCCGAGTGAAGGGCGTGCAAGGGGCGGGAGGGGGGGGCGTCCCTCGCTAGCCAGCGGGGTGGTCGCGCGGCCCCGCCGGGGGTGCTGCGGCCAGGCCCGCGCCGGCTCGGCGTCCACCCGTCCGGCGGCCCTGCGCCGCGCGGGTCGCGTCCCGGGGTCCGGCCGGGCCGAGGCCGTCGGGCGCGCTCGCCCGGAGCCCGAGCCTGGAGCGCTGCGTCGGTGTCGGCTGCGCTGCGCCGGCCTCCTCTCGGCGGCGGCGGCGGCGGCGGCGCTGGGGGGGTACTGTTTCCGGGGGTGGGGGTGGGGGTAGGACCGGGGCGGGGGGAGCCGATGATGTCAGCGGCGGCGGCGGCGGCGGCGGCGGGGCCGGGCCGGGGCCGGGCGCTGGGGGGGGCCGGGGCCGGAGCCGGAGCCGGAGCCGGAGCTGGAGGAGGGCGAGAGCGGAGCGGCCGGGGGCGGCCACGGGGATGAGCCGGGCCTGGCGGACGCGGCGCCATCGCAGTCAGGTGGGCCCCGGGGCGAACCGGGCAGGGCCAGGGCGGACCGGAGCCAACAGCCGGGCCCCCTCCCCGCTGCCCGGCGCCGTGGGGGCCCGGGCCGCGCCCCGCGCCG